AATAATGTCTCTTTTTTATTGTCTTGGTACTTAAAGGCTGTGTCTAGATTGGCAAGTTTTTCCGCAAAATCATCTGCTTTTGTGGAAAAACTTGCCAGCTGTCTACACTGGTCACTTGAATTTCCACAAGAACACTGACGATCTCATGTAAGATCGTCAGTGCTTTTCCAGAAATACTATGCTGCTCCCGTTCAGGCAAAAGTCTTTTTCCGAAAGACTTTTGCGCAAAAGGGCCAGTGTAGACAGCACAGTACTGTTTTCTGCAAAAAAGCCCCGATTTCGAAAATGGCGATCAGGGCTTTTTGGCGGAAAACCGTGTCTAGATTTGCCACGGACGCTTTTCCGCAAAAAGTGCTTTTGCGGAAAAGCATCCTGCCAATCTAGATGTGCTTTTCCGAAAATGCTTTTAACGGAAAAGTTTTCCGTTAAAAGCATTTTTGGAAAATCATGCCAGTGTAGACGTAGCCAGCATGTAGTACAACATTGAGACTTTGATCCTTTTAGGACCTGGATGGAAGTAATTGTTGATTGAGGGTAAAAGTAATCATCACTACAAAGGATGATAGCATACAATTCTGCAGCTTAGATTCATACATTATAAGGCCAGGAAGAACTACTATGATGTGTGGTGTTGGTAACAAAACTTGAGCAAATTAATTTGAACTAGAGAATACTATTTAAAGCAGAACAGAAAAAAATCATCAAGCTTCTGATCCAAAGTATATGTTTTATCTCTGCCAAAGTATAAGACTTTTAGTCAAATAAGGGAAAAAGTCAGATCAAACTGAGGGAAATTAATTATAGAGAACAAGTTATCAGTGACAAATGAGAAAGGTGGATGTAACGGAGTAAGAACCCCCCAAAAGAAGAATGATTTACAGAGATTCACAGGAAAGTAAATCACCACCTAGCTAGCAGAAAATGATCATGAAAACACAAAAGTGCATTTTAAAATGTGAAAATACAGAGCTGATAAAGAGCTTTGTACAGCAGCACAGTTCTCAGGAGCTTCTGTAAACACAAAAAGCAAGGAGCAGCAGCAAGAGGAGTTTGAAATAAATGTGACTCAAGTAATACTCATTTCTGTATGAACATTTGACAAATGAAAAACACCAAATGACCCCAATATACAAAAGCCTGAAAGGGTAATGCTAGATGGATAGCCAATGGAAAAAGCCCAGACACTGCCAAGCATAAACTTGTATAGAGACTATCGTTGTGAAATTACTGCATATGGTGAGAGGCTGCATAAAGAACATTGATGCCTAATGCCACACAGCAGGAGACCAGAAATGCTAAACAGAATCCACTATGCCTATCTGGCTTTAGGGAAGTATAACCACACGCTTTAAAAGCCATATTCTAGACAGACATGAAAGTTACTATGCAAGATAAGGCATAAAAGTGTAAAATCTGCAACAAGTATAGGAAACAGAATATATAAGAATGTTTTTTCTTGAACTGGAGCTATTATACAGCACATCAAATAGCAATGTAATAAGTCTCGAAGTTAATGACCAAATTCTCCTTTACTTCAATGGGAGAAGGAATTCATTTGACTGAGGGTTGGATGTAGTTTTGGGCTAGATTTTACTTTCTCTGATCTGGCCACTCCATCTCTAAGATGATCAGCTTGCATTCTTTGCAGATGGTTACATTCACCAAGTGGGAGAGGAATCAACTGTATTTTGAAAGTAAGTTGCTGAGCATGCTGTATTGCAAGAAATTGCATTGCTGAGACTTGCTTTAAAAGAATAGGTCATCTTGTGCCTACTAAGCTAAGTCCTTAGTTGGGGGACTCTGGAGTTACACTGTCCCAGCAGCAGCAACATGTGGCACTGGGCTTCTCTGAGCCATAAAGCCTCCTAAAAACTGAGGAAGCATAGCCATTGCCTCACACTTTAGAGGAGATGAGTGTCATATACTCTGATTGGCTGGCCAGTTATGTTTATTGGCACAGAGCATGGGGCAGGACCTTCTGTTGGCAGACATGTCAAGTTTCCCTCACTGGGTGTGAAACTCACTCATTAGCATGCTTTCTCACTTCTCCTCTCTCCCCCAAAACACACATACCTAAATTTATCTCACTCATTTTTAGTAAATATATGCAGATGTAAATTATTTTTGCTCTGGCACTGAAAAGGACAACAATGCATATGGGACCACAGGCCCAGGGTTTATAGCTTGGAAAGTCGCTTTCCAAGCTTGTGTACTGTGGTAACCATGGAGACTACAGGCACATATTCTATACATGTTGAAAAGGAGAAAGGAGACTCTGCCATAGATGGGAGGAGGGAGATGGAAGGGAGTGTGTGTGTGAATATTTGATGGTCAAAAATATGAGTTCAAAATTTAAATTACACTGGACAAGTTCGTGTCCTCAGGGATTGCGAATAATCTATGGTTTTGTTCCAACCAGCATATATATATATATATATATATTAAAATCCATTGGTTTGCATATGGAATTCTCACAAGCCCTAGACTTCAGTAGGAGTTAGGACATTGAAGTGTTTCCTATGCAATATTAAGCAGTGTACATTTTAAAATAAATTATTAAATGCTGGTTGGTTTAAAAACCTGGACTATTGAACGTTACCACAGACCAAAGATAAGAGTCTCTTTCTTAAGCAGTGGCTTTCTATACCATCTCTTTGGCCTTGAACCTCACTCTTTGGGGATGTCAAGGACAGCCAAGTAATGGCATATTCCCTAGATATGTCAAGTCTTCTATTGGCATATCCCCTAGAAGAGCCCGAAGACTGTGATTATGAGTGGCCCCTGCATGGGGAGTACAGAGACAGTTTCTCATAGCTTTGTGTCTCGTGTCTGTTTTCTGTCTCAAAATGCAGACTCAAATAGTCTCAAGTAGTTTTCATACTACTCTTGAAAAACTTAAAAAATAATGAGTGGTCCAGAGACTAACAAAATATATATATCACTCATTGAAGAAGTGGCTTGTGTCCACGAAAGCTCATGACACAAGCTACTTCTTGTTTCTAAGGAGCTTCAGGACCACTTGTTTTTTTAAGTTTTTTTTAATTTATGGACTAACACAGGTAACCCTCTGAGATTTTTTTCCTACTTGTGCTATGCAACCCATATATATTGTAGCAAAATGCAGGACTATGTAGCACTTTAAAGACTAACATTGTGTGTGTGTGTGCAATATTGGCCAGTAGCAATGATTTATTCATTTCATTTCCAGAAAAATAATCTAAAGTAGTATGTGCTCTCCCTCTCTCTCTCCATATACATATATAGCTTCTTATTCTTTTATACTTATGAGGGGGAAAAGGAGCTAAGTCTCTTTCATTCAACTAGCAATAAATTGAATGTAACAGCATTATTAAATGATGTGTTTTTATAAAGTCCTGAATATGGTGCATCTTTTGTGTTTTGTTTCGTATTGTTTGCTCTACACAAAAGGATAATTCATTAGGCCAATTCTCCAAATAATCTCAAAGTGACATGAATTCCTCTACAGAGTGAATGTCTGTAGTAAGTAATCCATGGAAAACAGACAGGCGTCTCTTGTCATTTTGGAGCTTTAATCCACTGCCTGGAGCATGAAAATGCTCAGGATAACAAGTGTGGGAATGACCAAAATCAACATTATTTTTGGATTTTATTTTTTTAACAATGCCGCTGATCAGCAGAATTGCAGCATCTGGCAGATACAATGCCTTCAGATTAATGAATTAAACTCAGAAGGAAGAAAAAAATGTTAGTGATGAAAAAAAAACTTTTTTCCCCTTTGGCAAATTTTAAGCAATGAAAGCAGTGTTAACAGAATGTCTAGAGCTAGTTTACAACAGTATTTAAGCCCTTTTTAGTTTAAGTATTTAAATTTTTACTTCAAATAAAAAACACCTGCAGCTTTTCAGATATGTACTTGTTTGAAGCTCAGAAAGGAGTAACTCTTATGTCCTAGAGACTGGATTTGTACTTGTGTATAGGTGTAAAAAACTGATATTGTATTGTATTAGAGCCAGACTTTGATGCTTTTGCATTGATTTTAGAGGTAATATTTATAGGATTAATTATTCAACAATGTGAGTAAGAGAGTTAAAACCCATTTTTTTTTTTGTTTGTTTTTTTTGTTTTTCTACTGTCCTAAAATATCTGTCAATCATTCTGGAAAAGTTTAAAACAAAATAGATGGAAATACTAAACTTCTTGGACAACATGCTTGTTTAGTAAAGGTTGACTTCCTATGTTTACATGAATGTTTGGAGATTCTTCATGGCTGGGAAACTTTGGTAATCATTCAAACACCGAAAAAAAAATGAAAAAAGAGTGTGTGTGTAGCCAGGGGGAGACAAGTTTGTGTTTGTATTTACAGTTTTCCGTAACACTTAACAGACATGAGGCTCTTCCTGGTGTGTTCCTTCACACTTCATGATAAGAAAAAAATCCTCCATTAATCAGTTTATAATAAATAAAATAATATTATTAATAATAATTATAATAATAAAATGTTCAAGTAATTGGAAAGTTGTGAACATATTAAATTTATAAGAATCCTTTTGAGAATCCCTGGTATAATTTATAAACCCTATGGATCTATATATGTTTAGAACTGAATGTTGAAGTGAGCTTTACTAGGAATTTCTTTTGCTGGATTGGAGGGGGGTGTAAGTGGGGGAGGGTAAGGAACTTTCCCTAACAAGGCTTTAAAAGCTTCAGTGGTAAAGTTATATTGATGGAAGACTCCCTTCCTTGTTCACTCTGAGAGCAAGTCACACAGGATTACACGATGGGCAGGAGATATTATTTATGGGGGTGGCAACGCAATATGCAGGGTTTATTTTTTGCAGAGGGTGTTTTTAATCAAAATAGCAAAATCCAATCCAATCCAATCCCTAACTGGCTGTAAACTAGCTTGTGCTTTTGGAGGTGAATTTACAGCTCCGTGCCTTTCACGAGCTTGCTGGAGGTTACTCTCCCCTCCTCTAATCTCTGCCTAGATGTTTTTTGCATGTGTGGTGTGACAGCAGGGGAAGGGGAGTGGGTTGTGCTTTTCTGTTCTCCCATTGTCAGCCAGTGTAAGAGAGTGTTGGGAAAAACCTGTCTGCGGGATCCTGTGTCATCTCTCGCTACATGTGTACAGGAAAAGTCAGTGCTGCTCGCTGTGCCTCTCTGTTTCCCTTTCATTCTTGCTTGCTCTGAAGCGGGGAGCAGGATTAGCTTGTGCCACTGGCTATCAGAGGAGCGTAGATAAAAGGCACAGCTCCTTAAACGCCACTGCTGCAGCCCTTGTTATTTTTCCCCCTCCTTCCACACAACAGTTGTGCCTCATTATCCACTGTCTGGCTCAATTTGTATGTGCCTATGTGTGTATTGGAAGAGACTTGAAGTTTTCCTTGTTCCACCGACTGGGGGAGAAGAAGGAGAGATGTTCTATAGCGTGTCCATGAGGTCTTGATTGTTCTGCGTTTATGAATGAAACTGACCTAAATCACCTGTTACCCCCAGTTTCTAGATAGTTTGAAGTTCTGCGGCTGGACTCTACAGGACCGAGGGCAACAGGGCTCCAACATACAAGGACCCTACAGTATCGTCCGCAGCATGAGCTGGCTGACTAGGATTGCATTGCTTTTCTTGGGAGTATTACTAGCAGAAAGAGTGAACTGCCAGCATGTGAAGAATAACGTGCCAAGACTCAGATTATCCTATAAAGGTAAATCTGTTGTTGTCTTTAATTTCCTCTCTTTACTGTTCCTGTTTTCCTGCTTTTTCATATAATTTAAAAAATAGAGCTTCGTGTTACAGAAAATATTTTAAACACTTTACAAACCGTTTTAGATTCAATGCCACCCAGTTTAAATGCAGACAAAGAGGAGTTAGTTACATTTGCAAAGATTCAAAAGTATGCTGATTTTGGAAGAATTTTGTTATTATATCATAGGACTTAACTCTTTAAAAATGATTGGACATCTTTGACCACCCAAGTAATCTCTATGTTAATCTGGGCATGTTGTAAAGTGACAATAATGTATCTAGTTCAAACATGATGGAATAGAGGGAAATTTATGGGTTTTTTTTATGCATGAAGTGGTTAAATCTCAGTCATGAATATTCAGTTTATACAAATCTGACAGTCAGATGCCTCACATAGGCAGTAGATGGTGGGTTTGCCAAGAAACTATAAACTGACAGGAACAGATCAGATCCATAAAAGGAACTATGTACTAGAAATATTGTATGGGAATCTTTAACAAAATGCATTTTTTTCTTAAATGAAATTATATCATACACATTTTGACTATATTTCAGTAATCCTTACAGAGAGAGTGTTACTAAGGGAAGATAACTATGAGATTACATTTATCTTTGGAAACTGCATATCATAAAACACAATGCCATTTTTAGTAATTTAATTTTAGTAAAATTATTGCTATTATTGAAAGTCAGGTCTCTGAAGAACCAGGCATACCCTCTACTTTATCATTGCAATTCATTTATACTGTATGTACCTTGTAGGGAGAAACATAAAAGGTGGACAATGTGCAAAGGGGATAGAATAGTAAATGATAAGAGCTAGTTTTTATTATTACTAAAAGAGGTTTCCGCCCTAAAAGTTGATTTATAATCCCAGATTATTTATGGCAGAGAGATGGCGGAAAGTAGCTTCAGTTCAAAATGAGCGGGGGTTGGGACGAAGAAATGTACCATTTCTACTATGGAAAAAAAGTGAACATGTCTGTTTCTGGTCATAGAAGTCAATCTCTATATATCTCACACCAGGAGAAGTATGTTCTCTACTTTTTAACATAATTGGCAGAATCTATCTTTCTAGTGGCACAAGTGAGAAGAAAAAAACACCTAAGTGATTCCAGATAGTCAACATTTTGACACTTTAAATCAGAAAATTAAAGACCTATAAAACTTGGATATGTTCTGACTTAATTGGGAAATAAATGAATGTGCATATTTTAAAAAGGAACATGCATGTGTATATGCACCACTTTATATATGAAAAAAACACTTTATGGTTCTCAAAATATGTCAATGTGTTTTTTGTGAGAACATTTTTTCTAGTTAATACATGTCAACTGCTTATTTTAAATAGTTTAATCTGAGAGTCAACCTGATACATATGCCATGTTATAAAACTCATTAAATATCACTTTGTTTCTGATCTAACTTCCAAACTTTAATGACCATACTGTAAAACTCAAATTATTATATAGGAACTTGAAGTGTTGGTTAAAGTGCTCCATTAAAATGTTTAATAGCTAATTATTAATTGTATGTTATTTTTCACCCCATTAAAGTTTATTGATGGCTCAATTCTACTACTAATTCTAATGTGGAATCTTCTCATTAAAATCAGTGGGACAAGCTGTGTAATGAAGTGTTACTTTGATCTGAGGAAGGGTGACAGAATTTGGCTCATAGTTTGTAACCATTGATGCTATATCCAAACATATAACCCGTTTCACAATCCTGCATTATTCTGCTGTCTGGTTGTTTTTAATGTCTCCTTCTTCTGGGAACGAGACTCTAATTCTCACAGTTTTTATTTAATAAACATCAGCTTCTAGGGCAAAGTTTTTCACAATAGTAACACAGGAATTTGATAGACTCCTTGGTACTGTTTGTGTAACTGACTGAGGAAGCTGTAAAAGTGAAATGACTGCAAGACAGTAAGTACTCTAGCTCCAATCCTACAAATACTCAAGGGCATGCTTAATGTTAAGCATGTGAGAAATAAGAGTTCTATCTTGCAAGGCCTGATCATGTTAGCCCAGTCCACCAAAACACAGAAGCATGTACTTAACTAATAATGTGTAAATAGTCCCACTGACTACAGGGGTCTACTCACATGCTTACAGTTTAGCACATGCTTAAGAATCCTGATGCATCAAGGTCCAAGTGTTGAGCATCTTGCAGGATGGATCCTTGTGTTTCTAGTTATTATAAAATAGAGGACAATAAGACTTATCAGTTGGTGATTTTCAGATGGCTAATTATCCTTATGATAAAGCACAATATAGAGAAATAGGCACAGGGCTTTGAATGATGCTTTAAGAGCTGTGTACAGTGAAAATACACTTTGTGGGCAGTGAATGAATATATTACATATCAGTATGGAACTCATGTGAAGATACCATAGGATATTTTCTTACCAGTGGGATGAATTGGTATTAAAACTACTAATAATTAGGAAAAATAACACCCACTCCTCCAATTATCTGCGTAGAAAACCTAGCAGTTTAGTAAAATAAACAGTAAAATGAATGAGTTCAGGCAGGATGAAAAAGAATGTGTCCAACAATTTTTCTTCTATTGTTTTACCTGCGATCATTGTGGTATTGTTTTTAAAAGTACACTTGATTTTGTCTTAAGAAATGCCTTGTAGCCAATTGGCATTGTTTTGTTTCTAAAGACTAAGAGGGATTTATTTTAGCTTCTTGTTTTTTCTGACTAATTAGATGTCAAACGTAGTTAAAACATGCAGGCATTTGCCTTAAAATTTCCAAAGTGATTCATGAAGGGTTAAATCCCTGCCAACCTTAATTTCCTATGGTCACTTGTTTTCAAAAGTCCACTATTAGCTCCGTCATTTCTAAAGCTGTCAGATAGACTTTTCAGTGAACTCCCATTCTTACTTTCGTTTGGCTTCCCAACACTCAGTCTTGCAGCAGACTAGAAGTATCATATTGGGCATATATTTATTACATGGACTCCCTCCCTTGCTCTACCAAAAATATTTTAAATTAGGCCAATTATATGGAAGAGAAAGCAATAAGATGCTTTCAGGTTCACTGTGGAAGTGAAATGTTAGAAAAATGGGTATCTTGGCCCTGTACCACTCAGATATGGGCAGCTTGCCGGGGAAAGGAAATCAGGGATGAACAGAGATAGCATCCTTTCTCTATTGAACTCAACTCTTACAAAACCCCCATTGATTTCAGTAGAAGTCAGAATTTCACTCCATAAATCTCAAACACAGAGATTTCACATAGGTCCATGAACTGAAGAGATCTGGCTCAGACAATATTTCTTTGCAATTTTAATATAAATATGATCAAGTGCTTGATTCAGAATTCACTAAAGTCAATGAGAGTATTTTGATTGATTCTATGGTCTTTGGATCATGTCCTAAATATGGTAAAAATTAGCTTAAAACTACTTCAGGTTAAACTGATACCCACCACCTCCACCTCCCTTCTGCTTTTAAAGACTGCATCTGGCGAAATAACAAAAAGAAATTTAATCTCCAAGGTGCAAAGAAAGCCTGTAATAAAACAACGGTTAAACAGTGAAGAAATAACATGTTCTTAAAGTTTCTTTTTATCCTAATGACTTGTTTCAATGAATGGTGTAATGAGTTCTACTGTGTTATTAGGTTGTAGATTCTGTTCAGAAAGCATCAATTGTATATAGAGTTCTCTGTATGATGGTGATCAAGTTGTGAGTGCAAAGTTTAAAATAATAAATAGTCTTAGTTCTACATGGAGTTTTCTTTTCTTTCCTTCCCTTTTTTTCCCGTCTGCTCCATCTTTCTCTTTTTTCTTTTACACAGTGAATCAATGGCATTAACAAATGCTAAATCTGGCTACACTGAATTTTGGTTTTATTTTTAATAAAAAGAATTCCCATTAAAATACCTCTTTTTACAAAGCTATTCCCAAAGTAACTCGGATTTTTATCATGAGTAAACCTTGTGAACTCAAAGTTTCTAATATCCATCTGTCTCATTCCCATTTGTTTATTGAAAATTACTAAATCCTTTAAGTCTGTTTGGTAAAAGTACATACACAGTTCTCTTTTGTTATTGTTGTTCAGTTGGACGCATGTTACTTAAGAACAAGTAATTGGAAAAAGCTTTTCTGTAGATTCAGTTGTACTAGTCCCTGGTTTCTATTCAAGCCATAGTAAAAACAGATATTTTGCCTAAAATTGGAATGAAAATAAGAGCTGTCCCCAGATTCTATGCATGATCAGTCTACCAAATGTACCAGACTGTCGTCCACTCTTTTATAGAACAGTAGTGCTGAATTACCCAGGTACACGTGAGTCTAAGTGTGACATTTCATAGGCAAGGTAGCTTATTAACTTGACCTGCTTGCACTTCATAACTTGCAGGTGGCTTTTTCTACCCAATTTTATAGCCAGTCGCATGCTCCCAGTACAGAAACAAAACAAAAGAAAGCAAACAAACAAAACAGAGCATTTTAGTAAGAGGGTCTGACTGGAAATATATCTCTTCTTACTTAATATCACAGTTTATCTCAGAAATCAATATACCCATTTAAAGGGTCTTATAATGTAATTATATATTCTTCTCTTTTTCACACTAACCATGAAGAAGAGAAGGAAACTAAAAGCCTGGAAAGAAGAGGAGGGTAGGGAAAAAAAACTGTTTATGGATCTAAGCAAGGACTTGTAATATTCCCCAGCCCCAGTTATGGGTAAATAGCAAAAAGATCTACAATTAAGGCTCCTTTGTGTCGAGATCCATTTGACACAGGAGTTGGACATGTGGGACACAGGAGCAAGCACAAGATTTTCAGGGAGCCTTGATTCTGATCTGCAGTATGTTAGAGTAGCCTAGGTGCTTATTTCACTAACATTAGCTGACTATGACCCCCAAGCAGGCCAGATGCCAGTTGAGAACTGTCAGAGAAGAGGCCCATTCTGACACAACCTTTCTGCTCCCAGCGTATGGCC